ACTATTATTTTTAGTGGGGAGTGTATCTCTGCTCTAACTTCTTCAGGTTGACCTAAGGGATCAGATACAAGACAAAATAAGGAAGTCAATTTTGATTGGCGCTCAGCCAATCAAAATCGACTTCCTTATTTTGGTATGGTAATGATAGAGATATAGAAAGGTTTTTCAGGGAGTTGGTTCTTATGTATCAAGCAATGTAGACATGTTGACTTTCATGTCTGGAAACTGCTCCCCGGTGGAGTGAGAGAGTGACCTTGCCAGCTAAGTTAAATTATGTATATGTTGATATTAATAAACTAGCTAAGTTAAAATTGCCTGTGTTGGATTTCTTTCCATCTGAATCAAAACAACTAGCCAGGAGAAGATGAAAGCGAGAAGATACAATATATGATACCATTTCCCAAGACCACCCCCACCAAGGAGCTATAAAACATTGTATTAATTGGCCTAGTGACAAAGACCGCTCAGCATGTGGTGTACATACCCTGTTAGCTGAAAACACCCCATCAGACAGCAAATCATTGATTCAGTGGTCAGATTTCTCACATTCAATTTACATTGGTATGCCCTCTGTGTCAACACAACTGAATGTTGATTTTTTGAAGTTATACAATTTTTGTCTGTTGTTGAATTGTAAACTTATTCATAATAAACTTCCAGACCTTCATCTTTCTAAATCTGAAAGAATCAGAGGAAAATATTAATTTCTTGAATACTTATTAAATATCAAAACCCTGTTGTAACTTTTGGGGCACCCCGTATATTTTCTTTTTTCTATCATATTATGGTATGGGAAAATTAGCAACTCCCCATATAAGTCATATACAGAGGAACCAATGACAAGCCAAATGAAAAGTTTATAGTCATACTTTTATATAAATAATACATTTATACAAAGAGAAAGAGAAGATGGAATTGTTAAACATATTTCTTTAGCAGTTAATATCATTTCACCAGAGGAAGAGGTCCAATACATGAAACTGAAATGGATAGAAACAGTTATCTGAAGTTGATCAAATCTCTTCTTTCAATGTCTGCTTGTTGACGCATTAACATGTCTATTCAGTATTGCTTGTGGCCAGCATCACCTGTCTTTTGGAGTAGACTAAAACACACCCTTTCATCTTGGTGGTCTTCAGGCCTTTTGTTTGGTGTCTCAAATCCATTTAGTGTCTAAATTTGGGTCTTACCCATTATTACTATATGAATGGACTCATCTCTTCCTATCAGGAATCTTACCAACCAAGGGGAGATAACCTATATTTTTCATAACAAACACTACTGATACCATGTAACTCAATGTTGCTTGCCACATGTTGAGGTCATCAGCAACTAATAAAGTAGTTCCACCACTAGAATTTTATGTGAGGAGGTTGGCTAGACACCTGGCAAGATTAAAAAGAAGACCTAATGAACCTTCTTGAAAGTATTGTAGTGTCCTACTTTTCATCATGGCTGACGATCTATTTCTCATGACCTTGCCCTTGTTGTAAGAACCTTTCCTATGCAATCTTGAATGGTTTTTTATATTTAATAATTTGCTACATCATTTTTTAGGATATTTGATTATGGTTACATAATATAAATATTACTTCTGGTAGTAGTATAGTTTGTAATCTCAAGTAATTTGATATTTTTTTATTATGACGAACAATTGTCATGAAACTTGTCATATATTGCAACACCCCTAACACCATAAAATCAGCAGCCTCAAAAATCACCTCTTCAGAGGATAGGATAGGTTTTCCTGACAGAGTAGATGCTGCTGTTGTAGCATTTGTTTTGTGCCAGTGGTTGTCCTCTCCCCTGCTGCCTGGACAGAATCCTCAGAATTGTTCCATAACATCTGTTCCATAGTGGTGGCATGATCAGCTATAATTAGCTTAGACAAGCTATGACCAGCTAAGACCAGTTTTAATCAGTGGTACAAGCGGAGACACTTGGATCCTCATGTTAAAACAAACTGAACTTGTGTCACATCCTGACTCAGAGGGGAGTCAAAGGTAAATACCACAGAGGATAGCATTTCCCGTTGGAAGTTGATGCTTCTGTTGTAGTATCTGTTTAGTGCAAGTGGCTGTCCTCTCCCCCGTTGCCTCGTCAGAATATTCGGACTTGTTCTGTAACATTTAAGACCAGTGGCCTGAGTTTAAACAAACTGACCTTGTGTTACATCCTGACTCAGTGAGGAGTCAAAGGTAAATACCCAGAGGATAGGTTTTCTGTTTATGCTATATGGTAACCTAGCTTATGTCATTGATGCTAGAGTAAGATCTTTAGGTTGTTTAGTGAAACCTGGTCTTCAGAACAGTATAATGCCGTCTTCCCATATCCTCAATAGGAATCTTTAAGTATGTCTGATGGGTTGCTTCATGATCCTGAGCAACAGTCAACCCTCATGATGTCCTGTTGTATCAGTCAAACCCATATGTGGCCCCCAGTCTGATGGTTACGTGTGCAATCTATTGTCGTAACAGACATGCTAACCTGTACTTTGAGAATCCTTTTCAGGACTAAGTCTCTATCTTTGTCCTGATTACATGGTATGTGATTACCATTTGTCCTTTCAAGAGCAAACTTGTGTTCTTCCTCCTGAGTGCATGGGGCAGTGCATGACTTTCCATTCCAGTATTGTCAGTGCTTGTCTGTTACAAAGAGATCAACAGTCATCTAACACAATGGAATAGACTGGGTGCCATAGCTATGAATACAGCCAGTGCAGTGATGACATAGCATCACTGGGTGGAGTGCTTCCAAGACTGAAGTTAATGACCAGGGTAGAGAGAGAGAGAGAGAGAGAGTGCGTGTGTGCGTGTGTGCGTGTGTTCTAGGTTTGTGTGTGTAAACAATTAAATAAAATGTATACAACTTGGGTTTCTGTCACAGACTTGCACTTTGATTTTCTTTTACAACATCAATTGGAGCCTCACATATACAAAGTTTCACACATCAAATTTAATTCAAGTCATTTTTTACTCACAATCTGGCTTCACTTTAACAGTTTTTTATTTAAAGAATATGTAGTGGAAAGTTTGGTGGTTACCATTTATTTAATGGTGTTGACGGCCCAAATCAATCCATACAATTTTTTACTCTACGAATATTTTAAGCAAAATGCAAAACAAGTGAAAATAACAAGAAACATTTGTGATAAAAGACAAAAGGCAAATATTTGAATAACAAGTAATTTTCAATATATTTTTGTAATGAAAATATTTTACAAAAATGTAGTGGGTATTTTAGGTGAAATCTTGTTAGTTTAATTTATGTTGAACTCAAGTTTGGTGAAAGATTAAATTTTGTTAATGAGTCCTGATTTGAAAGGATGTTTGCTAGAATCTGTCATTGTATATTCTGTAAATTAATTGCAAGAGAAAAATTTACATTTAAGAATTTACTGTTCATGTAAGTAGTAAATGTTTGTAAAGTTGAATGCAGTTTTCTGATCAAAGAAGTTATCTACTTTTGATTGTTTTGTGTAATACAATGTTCTCGAATGTTGAGAAATAAAGTTGATTTGTTAGCAGGAATTTGTTTAACTTCTGCATAAGGAATTTAGTGAGTGAATGGGACTAGAGTTCACTGGTGAGTTTTGGTGCGTGGGTGTGAATATTGTTAAGTTTGTACAATGTTTGTATGAACGAAAAACTTAAGATTGTGTGACATGAAGTTTAGTTGCAATTTGTTTGATGTCACAATGCCCACTGGTTAGTGTGAATGAATTTCTGTTTTTATTTGCTTCCGGGGGCTCACAAAAACTTGGCGCGAACTTGGATTTCAGTCACGAGCTGTAAAAATTAGTTAAGTGTGGGTGGATAGTCATGCGTACTTGTATATTTATTAACCAATGAGGACTTGAGATATTTTTGAAAGTGTATGAAGTTGAAAGTATTCTGTGATCCACTTTTTGCACAGATTTGACCAAACTATTTTGGGGTATTGGAATAATGTAGAATTTGGGTTCTACAAATACATTGACTTTAAAAAATGCTAAATACTAACCTCAAAAGAAAAACAAACCTATTCCATTGTATTGTAATTTTTTTTTAATTTATCCATGAATTATTTTTATATAATTTTACATTTATTTTTTATTATATAAATTTTTATATAATTTCTTGGCTGTTCACCTGATTTCTCTGTTTTTCTTATGACCAGCTCAATATTGGTTATTCTGGGGGTCTGGATTCCCAAAGAAAAAAGAAAAATGCGAAAGTCATCTTAAGAGTTTATCAGTTCCAAAATTCAATTGTAAGTTTAAAATGTTATCTCAGTTTTTTTTAATAACCCTTCTAAGTCGTCAAAAAACAAACGTTATGAAAGTTTCCCTTTTTTTTATATGCACAATTCCATTTCATAATAAAATAAAATAAAATAAATAAATAAATCTCCATAGACAAACAAACTAGACGATGGTTAATACATCTTCCGTTTCATTTTAGACACCCCCACCTTTCCCCGACTTGACATCTTGAAAGTATCTCTATACCGCTACTTATTATTAACACCCTACACTCGCCTACCCAATTTAAACAATTCGCCCTTGCTGTTACCATGGAGATTTTGATTTCAATTTTTAAAACAAGTAAATTTCAGATATACGTTATTCCAACAAAAATTTCGCTTGAAGATGGAACGGAGCCCATTTTAATTTAAACTCAATTTAATTTAAAGGATTATATTGAAGTTTTCGGCTCTTGTTTTGAAACATGAGACCTCTTATGTAGCGATTTGGAATCATATTTTTAAATAAATAATTATATTTATGCTCTACTTTTGTATCGAGCACTACTTTTTAAAAATAATAACTAAAATACTAAGGGACTTTGGATTATTTACCTAACCGGTTCCTTCCTATTTTCTATATATTTTCATAGAGAGAGAGAGAGAGAGAGAGAGAGAGAGAGAGAGATGAAATTGGGTACGAAACGAAGGCGAGAAAAATTGCTTTTATGTTTGACCCACAGTCGCCCTTCATCAGAGGACGACCCTGTTCTAAAATGGCGGCTTTAGTTCGTGCTGCACGATTTTGCCGGGTATTACCATCGCTTGTTTCTCTTGTTCGTCAACAATCATCATTTACTTCGTTTGGTTTACAGTCATGTGGCCCAATGAAGAATTTGTCTTTCCGGTAAGAATGAAGATGATCTACTTTAAAATTATCTCAGCCGTTTCTCTCGACAAAAGAAAAGCACATGTTTTTTTGAGATTTTAAAAACTTCCGTTCCCCTTCGTTTCTTTTGCGTTTTTACATTCGATAAGTCAATGGTTGAATTTGATGTCAAGATTATTTACGATACCAATTTATAGTAATTTACTAAGTATAGCTTGTGGCACAAAGCCGAAACTATTGAATACACAATGAACATCGAACTTATATGATAAATGAAAGTTATTTTAATAATCGTCTATAAAAATTATTTTCTTGATTATTCTTTAGAGATCATAATTTAGTTGATTTCATATATAAATTTTTCTTAATGAAATGTTCACTAAGAAGAATAAACATTTAAACGTGTTGTAAATTTTGTTAGGTTTCATAACTTCTTTTTGTATTTTTTTCAAAAAGGTGAGTGATTAACATTTAGAATTGATCATGATTCTCCCCGATTTTCCAAGGTAGAATCATAGTGAGTTATCAATTTTTTTTTTTTTAAATACAACTTAATTTTTCGCAGATTGCAAATTTATAGCCTTCGAAAAATGCTTTGATAATTATCTCGATTTATTTTCTAACAGTCGAAAAAAAAAGTAACTTGATTGAACTAAAAGAAAATATACGAACGTAAATGAAATATTTTGCATTTTGAAGCTTTTCTCAGGAAGGGTGCAATTTTTTTTATGTTGTCCTCTTCTTCAAAATGGCTAATAATAAATTATCAATTATTCCCTTTTTTTTTCTTTTTTTTTTTTATCGCTTTGTGCCGACTGGGTTTATGCTGCAACATGTGTTTTGCGAATTGCCCCTCATTTGAATTTAAGGCGGAAATTACTCCAGTCAAGTTCATTAGGTTCTTTAAGGACAAGGTGCTTTTTTGGCCACAGTGTCATCACTGATTGATTAATCCAATCGAAATAGTAATTTCAACCAGAACAATTTTGCCAATAAAAATACCATACACTTTTATCGTTTTCCCTTCATTATGAACAGTTTGTTTTTCTGTAACATTTTTTTTTACCAATATTGTTATCATTGAATCCACATCACCCTACTGTAAATTTGTGGCTAAGACGTTCATTGCCAAACAATGTTGATTATGTAACATTCTCTGTCCCCCTGAAATTCGCATCATGAAATCATTTGGTCCCCCTGCACACTTCATCTTAGCTTCTTTCAATCCCAAAGGAGTGTAAGACATTGGACATCAATCCTCCATCAAACTTAGTTCTACACTTTCTTCATTACTTCTCCATTAAAAATTTTTATAAAAAAAAAAATCCTACGAAAAAAAATTTCAAACTTTAGGTAACAACAATTACCGACACGCAATAAATCACACAGACGACATGAACCAAGTTTTAAAGTTACAATAAAATTTATTCATAACAATGCACAAAAGATTTACACAAAAATTTAGTACATTGTGTACCTAATGATAGCCAATAACATGCAAATTAACATGCCCTTTTACAATTAAAATTATATTACTGCATAAGATGGTCCTTTGAAGGGAAAACTACATTAGGTAAAGAAAAAGAGAAATATTTATTTCCCTGAATATTTTTCAATGAAAAATTTGATACTTTTTTCTATGGAGAAAATTTGTGGTTTCTTTTTCTTGTGGTAACCGCAAAGATTTAGTTACTGTTAACCACACCAGTCAAAGACTTTTCTTTGTGGAAGAAATGACCTGGTTGTTTCAATTGTTGTCTGTGCTAATGGGTAGTCAAAATTTTTCTGCATTGTTTTTCTTCTGGACCAGGGCGACCTGAATTCCTGTAGCAGTTTGTTGTCAACTCCAAATATCAATTTTAAGGTCCACTTTATATACCAGACTCGCAATTTGGAGGAATACCCTTTCATTAGTTTGGAGGTAGTAGTACAAATGCTGCTTTTTTACCAGTAATCAAAATGTACCATAAATATTTTGAAATTTAAAAATTAAGAGCCCATCAAAGCATCTGCTTATCTCTGAAAGTATGATGTATGGTCATGTAACTTAAATTTCTTATATTTGATTTGTTCTCAGTGTCATGTTTCCAAGTGTTGCTTGACTGTCCTCTCTTCCTTTTTCTGGCTTATAGATATATCATGTTGAAACATTGATTCTTGTATGATCACTGAAATTAAACATCGAGCTTGGTCATTACCTATAGATGATCACTTAGGAATACAAGGTGCTGTAAGCTTGGATGTACAGGTGATGTCATGGATTGGAAATTGGAGTACCAAGTTCCAAATCAAGTTGGGTTTGTTATATTCCCTTATGTGCAAATTACCTTGGGAAAGATATGAATCAACCTCTTATCCACCCCCAGCTATGGGTTAACTAGTAAGGCTTGTATCAATAAATCATTATCTTCAAAAAATTCTTAAAATTTAAAAATATTTTCTGACTTTAAATAACCTGTAAAAGGTTGATAAGCCATAAAAAAAAAAATCAGTCTTCCTTTTTCCCCTGGGGGTTGCAGGTCAGAACTTAACAAGTGATGCTGGTTTGCTGAGTTTGTCCTCTTTAATCCCGCTTCTTCCACAAGATCTGATTAGTAGCAGGATCTTGCTCTGCTCTTCACCACTTGACATTGAAAATGTACTTCAGACGTTGATAAATGCCTGCAAATTTTGCTGAAAAACTTTGGTTGTTTTCCACAGCACAGGACTGATTCAATGTTGGGGTTAAAGATGCACATTTTGGGATGTTCAGATGTTTTTCAGCAAAACAAAGGCTGCTTTTGCCTTTGCTAATCCAAACTGACATCTTGGTCAGTATCACACTTTCAAGGTATACAAATGAATTGACTTCTTTGATTAGTTTCCTGTCCATAGTAACAGAAGTGTTGGCTGTTTTCAGCATCTGGTGAATTCCTGCTTTCTTTTACTTTTTTTTCTTGACTTTCATATGGCAACAGAAAAAAAACATAACTGAAGATTGTGAACTAATACATATATTTAGCATAAATTTTTTTTTACACTTGCTGTATAGGATGATCATGAAAGTCATGTGTCTAAAATTCAGGCAAAGTTATACAACTTCACCTAAAAGCAACACAAATTGTAATAAATTTAAGAATGCCAAGTTCTTTTGGGTTTTTTTTTGGGGGGGTCATGAAAAAAATGAAACAAATCTTGGTCAAAATGTAATGCCTGATTAAATTTAATTTTGCAAGTATTAGAATTCCTGTGTGTTGTTTTTTATTTTTTAAGCTAGCTTATGATATTTTTATATTGTCTGTAAGTATTTTCTTGGTAATTGTTCTAATGAGTTCCTCTTTGGTAACAAGACTTTATGAATTTAAGAGAAGTAGTAGATTGGTGACAAGGTCTCATTATTTTACAGTTGAAATGGCCAGATGTAGCCATGTAGTTCTATGCTAACAGTTTCTTCTCTCACATTTCTTGCTTGCAGAACTCTCTTCCAATTTCTTGCTTTCCAGTTAATTTTGATCTTCAAAAATTTAAATGCAATATCAGTCATCATCTTGTTTCCTTAATTCCTGTTATTTTATTATCCTCTCTCCTTAATATTTTTCTCAGATTCTTTCACTCCCTACTGCCTTGCATCTTAGTGGCCTTATTTGAGGTGATATGATTAAAGAAATATAGTATAAGCTATAAAAGGCATGTAGAAGTTGTGTGACAGTGGAATTGGGGAGCCATGTTCAAGTTCTAGCTTAGTCTGTTACATTCAATTTGCACAAAGGCCCTTGGGAAATGCATGAATCTATTTCTTCCAGCTGTGGGTCAAATAGCAGGTTGACTTAATTCTCTACCCTTGTATGGCAGCCAGCCTATGAGGAGGAAAATTCTAAATTGAAAACTATGGAGAAGACAACAGGAAAGCACTAACCAATCTTTCCTAAGAATTTTATGGCAATTTACAGATGATAATAAAGGAGAGTAATCTGAAGTTATGATTTTCCATGGTCTGAAGGGACATGGCATTTTAAAAAATACTAAGAAACTTTAAAGAGGAAAATTTATGGAGTTATCTTTCAAAATGGTTTTGATATTTTTTTTTGGATAAGGTGCACTTTGACATTTCCCCTACACAAAATTAGGTCATTTATACTAAAGCATTGCAAAGGATGTGGTGCTATCTGAAGGCAACTCCATCTGCAAAAAATTGTTTGCTTATCATGTTACTGTCCTGAAAGCCAAGCTTGCCAATGAACCTGTCAGTATTATACCAGATGAAACAACTGACTGTCCTGATAGCATTTTGAATGTGATTGCAAAGCATTCATTGGAAGTCATTTCTTATTGATATTGTAATCATGACAGAATGCAACCATCAAATTATAAGTCAAATCTGCATCTGATGTGTAACTCATGTTGATATTACTTTTCAGTATATCATTACATTTATATCAGATTTATCAGCCTATTGTATAAAGGATCATAAGGTGGGTAGTGTCATCAAATGTGTTGACTAACAGTTGCCATGTGTTATGTTTAGTAGTTTTAAGAGTTCTTGGATTGCAAAGGAAAATATTTGTTGCAGATTACTTCCACAACAAAAAGAACAAATCACTGTAAGTTCAGACTCGAAGATCAGGGGCAGAAAGAAATGTCGAAATCTCGATTTGCAGGTACTATGTCACAAATCATAATGCACGTAACCAGTCAGAAAAATAACACACTGACCGACAACAGCCGTGGTAGCCAAATACATAAATTTTGTCTTTTTTTCTCCCCAATTTGAGAACACCAACTGCTTTTATTGACCCAGCATTTATTTCATTCGTTGACAACTGGGAGAGGATGCACAATATTAGCATGTCCAAAATACTTTTCTGGTGACTCCTGTGACCGACTTGTTTCTGATTTGAATATTCTGTCTTCAGCATATCATGCATAATATGTGCCCTTTTTTTTCGGCAAGTAACTTTCTTTTTTGTCACAGTTTCCGTCGTAGGATACACGTGACATGTTGTCGCTTGGTTTGATGAGGTAATTTGCAGTTTTCTTCACTATAGTAGTATACATTTTAAATCTTATTGGTGGTGTATTCTCTCATTGATAATGTTGCCCAGCTTATTTTATTTCAAACTAAAACCTTTATTCAATCTACAGGTGTTACTAACTTTGCCAGTGACCTGAAGCAAAGATGATACAGTAGCTGAAATAGGATGATAACATCAGCATGATTTTAATCCAAGTAAATCAGTCTATAACAATGTTTCTCCTTTTTTTTTTTTTTTTTAACTTCATGGTGCACTTGTAGAATAAGTAAAACTCTGGTACACACTTTAGATTTGAATAAAGAAAAATTACTCTTGAAATTTGAAAATATGAAATTGTTTTACCATTCCCAAAGAAGATTAGCTGTACAGTTTTCATTTAAAGTGATTTATGAATTTATTTATTTATTTATTTATTTTTGAAGATGCCAATAATGTCTGATTTAAATTACTTGATGTTCGCAAAAGGAAAAGGTTTATCCACTCCTTGTTAAAGATTAAAGAATTTCATCCAGTTTATAATATCAAATGACAAAGACTTTACTTATTCATGGAAGCCATGTGTCTCCCAGCTTTTTAAAAATAGATTTTTTTTAAATAGAAAAATAATTCATATTAATTTGGAGTGCATCTGGCTACATTTCAGGGTACATTAGTGTGCACTGGTTGAGAAATGCTGGTCTATAAAAATAATTCCTCATCCATAAAATTCAGATTAAAGATTGACTTTGATGTTCAAACAGAGAAAAGCTTATTTTGTTAAAAAATGTAAGCTGTCTCTGGCTTTGAAACAAGTTTTTGTAAAAAAAAAAAAAAAATTTGTAGCTATTCCTCTTTTTATGAATTTATCATCACACTGGTAGCAAAGGAAAACATTTGCTAATTCCTGTAGGCTTTTTATCTCTCGCCCTCTCTCTCTCTCTTTCTCATGGTAATAAAAATATTCTTTGATTACTAAAGTTCTTTTCTCATTCTTTTGGATTTGCAGGGCTTTGAGCACCCAAGCTGAAGCTGCGAAAGAAGTTGCCAAAGTTTCTCTCAAATCAAATTCCTTTGTAAACCGCCAGATGATTACTGTGGAGACCAACATTCATAGATATGGACGAGTGTCATTTAATCAATTAAATGCTTTACTTCAGGCGATTGACAAAAGTGGTATTTATTTTTATTATTAATAAAACCATCAAATTACCTCTGCTATTTTATACAAGAAATGAGTTTAGGAAATGTTGATTTTGAACATGTGATCTATGCAAATGAATTAATAAAATGCATAACTAATATATTGATTCTTTAAAACATGAAAAGTTTGGAAATAATTAATCTTTGTAATTTTTCTTGGATATTTTCCAACAAAGCTTTGCATTTCTTTCATTTTTTTTTTTCTTTTTTTCTTTTTCTTTTTTTTATTTACCTGTCAACCCTTAAATTTACTGTCATACAGGACATAAATGAATGGAATCGTCTGTTTATATAAATAAGTGCAATTGAGAAGAGTTAGCATTAGGGCCATTGCTAAGTGTACCTTGTGTGTAGTAAATCTTCTATTTCATTACTTACCTATGAGTTTGTCTTTCTTATTCATTTCTCTCTGTTATCTCAAAAACACGAGATACAACATTTACAAACCATTTTCTATTCATTATTGGTAACAAAATTCATCCTATTTGTAATAGTTGCTAATCCTGTCTTACTATTCGCTGTTCACTTTAAAACTTTGAATTTCAAATAATAAAGAATAAATCTTCAATAACTATTTGCTGGAAAAATGATTAGAAGATGCTTTTGTTTCTCAGTTGAATTTTAAGGTTTTTAATCGATTAAATTGATACACAGGTAGTATATCGATATGAGCAGAGAAAGTGGAATGAGAGAGATGTTCAAATTCTAGGCTTGTCTTTTGTGTTCAATTTTGTACAAGTACCCATGTGACTGGGCTCCCTAGCTTTGGATGGCAACCAGTCTCAGAATGAACACTGAATTTCAAACTGTGGAGAAGGCATCAAGAAGCCACATCACTATTTTCCCAAGAAGTCATAACAAGTCAGAGGTATTAAAGAAAAAGTATCCATCGAAAGTCATAATTGTTTATGTTCTGAATGGACATAAAATTAAAAAATAAGATTAATTAAATCAAAGTTTCCATAAATAGATGAAGCATTATTTATTGTTATACCTGAAAAAAAGATTATTATACTTTAAACATCAGTATACACTAATCCTAATGTATATGAAATTATAAAAATAGTTCTATGTCTAGGTATTGAGAAACAAAATAGGAACAAAATATACTTTGTATATCTACTAAGTAAAAGTAACAGTCAGTGGCATAATCTTGGGGTCCATGCCAGACCAAATGGAAGGTTATTCAACTTCCTTTTTGACTATTTTGAGAAAGCATTGAAGAATGTTGTGCAGCTGATATGTAGTGCACGATTTATCTTGGTCATCAAATTTGATTCCAAAATATAAATTGTATAGATTTTTTAGCAAGTGGGGTAATATTTCTTTTATTCTTTTTAAATGTTACAAAGCCCCATATGTAGCAGATTTTATTTAGACTATTTTTGTATTTTTCCTCTTAGCATTTTTAATTTATTTTGTATAATCTGAAAATGAATGAGTTAAATTTTGTGAAAATTTGAAATAAATAGTAGTTGGCAATAACTGGAGTCATTTCGTAAAAAATGAATGTTATTTTCATAATTTACACCCAAAATGACATGCTCATCTTTGTAGTCAACAAAAAATTAAATTTTGTTGGACAGTGTAATTTAAGCATTCAATTCATGTGGAATATTGAATTATCTGAACATCCCTTACCACAAGATGTCCAGTTAACTGAGGAAGAACTGTATGCTACTGAGGCCATTGGATGCAGCCATTCAAATTTAATCATAAAACTTTTTCTTGTATTCTGCAATTACCTGATACATCACCAACCATTTTTCTTTTCTTTTTTTTAATGCTTGCAAGTGCATAGAAATTTGATGATAAACTCTTTACTCAGACTTCCAGTTTAAAATATAGATATATATATATATAAAAATGAAAGAACAGTAAAATATATAATCCAGTGTTTGTATAGATATTTTTATTTTTACAAAATAGTGCTCAATGTAAATTTACAGAGCATTAATATTCGTTTGAGGGTGAAATGGAACTAATGTCTTTAATTACAAAATTAAATTTGGACCTTCCATTTTTGGAACATGGTTAGAACTGTGTAGTGGAAAACCCTATTTTAAAATCAACTAATTTATATATATATATATATATATATATATATGAAGAAATATAGTCTTAAGGTGTGCTATATTTATGGGATAAAGTGCTCAATATCAGAGATAGAGCATGTGTAAATATAAAGTGAACATAAAGTCAACACTTAGGCGATTGTCTGTTTCATGCTATATGCAATCGTCAAGCACAGGTGGCCTGATGATTGCATATAGCATGAAACAGACTGTTGCCTAAGTGTTGACTTTATGTTCACTTTTATATATATATATATATATATATATATATATATATATATATATATATATATATATGTGTGTGTGTGTGTATCTATATACTTCAGGTAGATGGAACTCATCACCCAGGAGGTAGTCTAAGAGAAGGAAAACATTGATTTTAAACCTCTGCTGCCTTGTGGCCATACCCAATCTTGGGAAAGGCTTTGGGAGTAAACCCTGAGGACAATTCCAGATCCAGAATCTCTAAAACAGTCCAATTTTATGTTCAACTTAATTTTGGCAACTCCTGTAATGCTGTATTGGTCACTACCTTTCCTTTGGTGGAAAGTGGCATGGAGAGCAGATATGTGATGTATGCGTCAACTACTGATCTTTTATCAAACTGTACCCAGGCCTGCGCCGTGGAGAAGACAATAACAAGTGCTGCACTAATATCAGCACAGCTGAGGTATAACTCTTTGGGCACAGATCCAATGTTTCGTGAAACCAACAAATGTATCACACAAGCTTGAATATTCAGCTGGTGTAATAATGGCTCAGAGTTGTTAATTGGAGTGATGAGTTCCAATTTTAGTTGATTTTATTATATTCAATTACGCATAAATACTCTTCAGAAAGGTAAAAGTCCATCTCTTCTCTCCTCCACATCTATGGGTTAATAATTAAGACTTTATCATTAAAGGATTTTCCACCCTTCCCAAATTCTTACAACCTAAAGATATTTTCTATGGGCTGATAAGCTGTAGAAAACTAACCAATAAATCTATCAGAAAAGAAGGAATAGTTGTATAGTTAAACATTTGGATGACTGTAACCTGTAATACCTGTGAGCTAATCAGTAAAGCAGCTTCCATAGGTGTTATAGTGGAACACACCTATTCTATAGTTAATAGACTCTCCTACCTATAATAAGTAGGAGTAGTAAGAGTAACGAGGCGTCGCTCAGGGAGTTGGTCTGAGTTCAGTCTGAAGTTGGACGACCGGTTGAACTCTCTGCTTTCGGGCAGGGAGGAACCTGAACGAGGGTACGCTGAAGGGCGGAGTCTCTTTCAGGGGGTAAACCCGACCCTGAACCCGTTTATACAGATTTAAAGGGCATATTTTTGGCCGAGCCCACAGGCTCGGAGATCCCACATTAAACCAGCCATGTGCCACATGATGCCTTCGTGTGTGTGTGGGGGGGGTGTGACTGAATATCGCTCGGGGAGTTGATCAGTCAGTCAATGTCGAATGACCGTTAGTCGGATACTAAAGTATCAGCGACCACCACTAGATTTCACTGCGTCATTACCTATTATATCAAGTTCTTAACGTTTTGTACATTGAACCTATTTTAGGACCGACTTAGTACAAATACAAGCCTCCACTGTGAAACCACTCTACAACAATAGGAAAATGGATACATATTTGAATCTTGACGGTGGCTTATCTTTATTTCATGATAATAACTGTAGAATGATGGCGTGATATTTGGCATAAAAAGCATCAAAAAAAAAAAAAAATGAGGCAAAAGAATTCCGAAGATGAAAGAAAGAAACACTAAGGAAAAAAAATTAATAATTGAAACTGCTCCATATAAGAAATATGGAAAAAATTGAGATTTGTAGTGATTTATATATTTTGACTATAAAACCAGTATCAGCTTTATATGCAGTATATTTTAATCAAGAAAGTCTGCAAAATATTCCCAATTCTCTTGTGAAATGTTAGTAAATGCTTGTTATCAGCTTATGTTTATTTTATTTTACTTCCTGATTTCAGGTGAAGTTAATGCTGCTCAGGCTCTCCTTGTATTTCGGGCCATGGGGACATCATTATTTGATGAACACCCAAATGCACGAGTTCAACTGGTACACAAAACATTGGAAAAATTTGAAAAACTAGGTAAGAAGTACTTTCGTCTGTTTCCATATGAATTTCAGATATTGTCATGTTTCTTGCTATTAACCAAGTGATTAAATACCAGTTAACATTTGTAAGATTTTCAAACTTGGAAATATTGTAGTTGAAAACAAAATAAATCCAAAATGGAAAAAAGCAGAAATGCCTTATCAATTTTTAGGACCTGTTGACTGTTACAAGTATTGTATTTGCATTTAAAACAAGAAAATTATGGCAACATTGGAAATGTTGCATATTTCAGTAATTAATGATTTAATTATTATTTAATGCTAGTTTTTTCTCTAAAGCCAAAAAGCTGAGAGTAATTGTAACCATCCACTATAATAAAATAAACATTTTAAGCAGCACTAAAGTTGAATTAGTCAAATATACTTCTATCTAGAGTTTTTACTATATTACAGAAAGTCTTGTTTGAATTTCATATTGAAATAATAAAAAAAAAAGACCTTTTCCTCGGCAAAGACGTTAACGTAATTTTTCTCAGTGCTTATATTGCAAATGCAACAAATGTTCATGGAGCTGGTATGGGAAGTTCATCTAAACAAGTCATATTCTCTAAACGTATCACCTACAATTATTTCTGAATAAATAAAATAAATTGTCTAGCATGACGGTGAACCAACATTCCTAGCAGTAGACCTAGCAATCAATTCAATGTAATATTTCCATATCATATCAGTGGAAAACATTAGCCTTAGAAGGTGTAATGAGTCACTCTTCTGGAGGTTAGCATCAGCCATATCGATAGAAGGGTTCTCTCGGACAATTAAAAGAGAGCATGATGAGTTAGTAGCCATGGCCAAATGAAAAAGAAATATCAGAACTGTCCAACAAACAAAGTTTGCAATAAAAAGAAAAATGGGTAAAAATGAAGTAATATCAAGCAAGCAATATATATATATATATATATATATTTATTTATTAAAGACATTTTATGTTTTATAGATACAAGTATTTAAGTAAATGCTCTGTTTATAATAAACAGTATTAAATAACATTTACCGTCCTGAATGTCCGAGAAATTTTCATAGAAAATATTCGTCCTTTGACAGGATTCGAACCTGCATCCTATACGGAACCGTCATTTACGCTGACGGCTGACAAGTTCTTTAATAAATAAATTGTTGGACTTTGTCCATTTCTTAATATATGACGTCATTTGTTTACATTTGATATAAATTATGAAATATATTGAATATAAGCAGTAAATTCAACCTTGACTACCGAACGCTCATTTGTGGCTGGTCAATTCAGCGTAAATGACATTATAGGATGTTTTAGAATCCTGTCATATTTTTTATGAAAATTTCTCGGACATTCAGGACGGTAAATGTATTTAATACTGTTTATTATAAACAGAGCATTTACTTAAATACTTGTATCTATAAAAAGAAAATTAAACATAAAAATATCTTTAATAAATAAATTGTCGGACTTTGTCCATTTCTTAATATATATATATATATATATATATATATATATATATATATATACACAAAAGCAAGTTTACAGGTAAGAAAGTAAAAGTTTAAAACTTTGGTGTCTCCTTTAAAAAAGCCAAGTGAATGCAGTGGTCTGTTTTATAGACAATGTAGATCTGAACTTCATTTAAATTCTCTGCAAAGCAGGGTGTGTACAAGCCCATTTTTTATGTTGTCTGTAGGCTTGGGCAAAAAATTACCTGTAGACCCCGCCATACATGGGGTCAGGCCTGTCTACCTCCCTAGACATGACTCTGCCCTTCAGCATAGCCTCGTCTGGGTTTCTCTCTGCCTGAAGGCAGAGTTTAATAAATCAGCTCTAACCACCTGAAATCGCAGATCTGGACTGAGTTGAGTCAAATTATAAATTAACCTATTTTATTGACTAAGAAAAATATTCCAGCATGTATTTGTGGACTTCTGCCCTTAAAAGGGGAGGGGTAAAAGTTTTGCAGTCATTCCTATATAAAGGGACTTAGAAAGAAAAAAAAAAAAGAGGCATTGGACATTTATTGATTTTTTGCATCATGGGGTGTTTTGTAGGTCCCCTGGGAATATGTGGTATATGTAGGATTGAGAGGTGATGGACAAGTTCTAGTAGTGTATATTGTAATGAATGAATGAGTCATGATTGCAATTATGAAGACCAGCCTTTCTCCACTTTCTCTTTGGGCTTGTGCCACAATTCTGTATTTTATGGAATAAATATTCATTCCTATATGGAGTGAAATCAACAGAGTGGTTTTATTTTGGAGGCATTAAAATTAGAAAGTACTTATACTAAGAAAAAACTTCAATATGTGGAGGTACTTTTGAACTGACAAGTCGCAAGACTTACCTGGATTTTGGTGAGAATGAGGTGAGGATGTATGTCTGTGTGTAAATTTAATATATAAGCCACTGATTTAATGTTAATGTCTGTCTCTTTGTTTATATTTACAGCAGTATGTATGGGTGGAAATAAAATAAGCACATCTCATCTCCCTTCTTGCTTGTAACCATTCACTATAATAAAATAAATGTTTTCAGCAGCACTAAAGCTGAATTAGTCAAATAAAGCCTCTACTTAGAGTTGTTGCTATATTACAGTAATTATCTGAATACAAGGTTGGTATAGATGGAATAAAATTCCAGTAACCAAAAACACTATTTAAAAAAAAAAAAGTGCTCAATACAAAGTAGAGTGAATAATATTTATTAAAAATTATAACATAAGTATGTTACAACATTACAAAAATAGCCGTTTTGTTTCAACACTTCAGGTGTCTTGTCATGATGAAAGACCATCACTTGACAAGACACCAAAAGTGTTGAAACAAAATGGCTATTTTTGTAATGTTGTTATCACATACATAAGTTAGAATTTTTAATAAATATTACAGTAATTATTAAAATATAGAATTTTGAATACTGATTATTACTTCTATATTTTTTACAAAAATTATTTCAAGACTAAAATCAATTTCATCCATGTGAAAACCTTGAATAAAGTGTATGCATGGTCCTTCAGAACGTGGGCAATCATAGCTCTCCCCAACCTCCTATCATTTGCTACTCTTAGTAGTATTTGTTTTTTTTACCATCCCTCCTATTCCCCATTCTGTCATGCATTCACATAAGCTTGTCAGGTAGATGTGCTGTTGCCTCCCACTGCTTTTCATATTCTTTTTTGGCTTTGTTGAAGATTGTTTCACTGGAAGAATTCTCAGATAACCTGTAGCTAATTGACTGTGGGATCTGCTTGATTATTGATGGTGGGTGGTAGGAAGATGCACACTTAAACACAAGTAAACATAATAACAATAATCAGCAACAAATCACGAAGCAATTAATAATAAAACTAACAAAGAAATAGCTACAAAGCTGCATTCAGATCCTGAATTATTTCCACTTGATTGCTCTTAGAATATTTTGAAATTTTTTACCCAATAACCATTAGAATAATAGACCTACCCATAATGCATCAGTGGCCAACATATATAAATAGTCAACCAAAACACAATGCACATGACCTGATGATTGCATTTAAGCATGGAACAGACCCACCACTGGGTGTTGACCTCAATGTCCCCATTTATATCTACATATGCTTTATTCCTCATATCGAGCACTTTAACTCATCATCTATTTGATCACCATTTTTCTTTCTCTATTACTATATGGATCATTATTTCTATCTATTATTATAATGGATTACTATTCTCTAAACTATTAAATTGGTTACTATTTGAGCCCGTATTATCAAGCAAGTAAATAGTGTGAATGTTATTCAAGCGTCTGACACCATAAAAGAAATAAATTACTATAGTTGTATCTGTAATTAAAAGTCTCTACTAAACAAGCAGTATTTTTTTTTTTTGTTGACATCACAAATTTTTTTTTTTTCCCCTCTTTGTTCATATGATGTGGTTATTTCTCCTTTTCATCATTTTCCTGCCTCCTTATACTCACTATTCCTTTTCTTTGTTTATCTTTCGGCTAAAAGAGACTAAAAACTAAAATAAAAGAAATAAAAGACAATGCTTCATCTAGGAATAAATAAAAACATTTTTTTTTTTGTGGGATATGGGGATCATCATATTTTTGTTGCTTTTCATTGAAATACTCAGGATATTTATTTACTTCATTTGTTTTGTTTTTTTAAATAAGCAGACTGAAACTGAAAACCTATTAAAACCTCATTCTATATTAGCAATCCATGTTGCTTACTTTAGTCATAAGCTGTAGAAAACAACCTGTGTTGTCATGAGAAACTAGTAAAAAAAAAAAAAAAATTTGTAAAATTTTTTCTTCTCTTAAGTCTTCTATACTTTTTACCTAGATATGAAATTTATTCCATTCCTCAACTGTCTGTTGTGGGTGTAAATAAGTACATCAGTAAGTCTAATGATGCAAAAAGTATTTATTAAAAACAAACACACACAGGAAATGTTTCTCAACCATTTCCTTCCTTGTAAGTACAATTAATCCAGCTCTTCTCCGTAGATTAACTAAATCGAACATTCTACAGTGAAAATTTCAAATCAAAATTCAGCTAATAATTGTTAGGCTCCAAACTTATTCATTCACTCTTGTTAACAGCTATTTTCACCAAAGCAGAAACCTCAAGTTATTAGTTCAACTTTTAAGAAACTTATATTGACAAATTAGCATTAGATCTATTTTTATTTGTTGTATTTATTTTTGTAACAGTAACAAAGAAAGGAACTTTTTGTAAATAATTGTTTTTTTTATTGGCCCAATACAACATATGATTATGATTTTATCATAGTTACATTTGTTTAATAATATTTTGTAACTTTTAAGGTGTCTTTTTAAAAAATTAAATTATAATTTTCTGCTTGTTGTACAACTATAATCTCTTATTTTCTTTTCTCTCTAATTAGGATTGGAATTTGATGTGACCCATTACAATGCCATACTAAGAAGTTACTTACAGAACAAACATCATTTTAGTCCAAGTACATTCCTAGAGACAATGGAAAAGAAGCAGATTCAACCAAACAGGGTAAGAATAATTTTTTTGTTTTGATTGTAATTCTAATTGTTTATATGCAGCTGTAAATTTTATTCTGACAATCGGAAATGACTACATATCTATTGGGTTGAGTCATAAATAATTTTTGTTTTTGTTTATCAACTTTATTCTTAAAAGAATGTGTGGGTAGTGAAATGCATAATGGCTCAAAATGAGAAATCTGAGCCAAGTTCTCATTCACTTTCCTACAAATACCCTTAGGAAAGGTAGGTACTCCTTGGCTATGGGTTAAATAGTTATGCACCGGATCTTTTAGCCTTGGGTGGTAACCACTCTAGGGAAGAATAATTTTGAATTCAAAACTGTAGCCATGGCAAAGCACATACTATGCTGCAAATTAAAATATCGTAGAATTTACAATGACTCTGATACCCACTGCTCCAAAAAGTATCTGACTCCTCCTGTCTTGCTCTATCTTTACAAAAGCCAGATTAGATGAAAAATGGAGTATTGCTGTCATATCTGGGCTGCCCAATCCTTACTTTCTAGCCTTGAAAACTCTCAATATCTGAAGCTTTAATAAAAATGAAACATGTTAGATTGATATACATTTCTTATTTGTTTTTTATTTCATTATCCTGTCAGATTGATCTTTAACTCATATATATATATATAAAATGAAAGGGACAAAATCTGACAGTTATTTTAAGTTATCTTCTGTTTATACATTATTTTTATAGATACAAATATTTAAGTAAATGCTCTGTTTATAATAAACAGTATTAACAACATTTACCGGCTTGAATGTCTGAGAAATTTTCATAGGAAATGTGTCCTCCAACAGGAATCAAACCTGTACCCTATACAGAACTGTCATATAGCTTGCTGTTCGGATACGCATTGAGCAGACATGAATGTTCAAGGGAAATAATGGAAAATTGTAGTTTAAAAGCAGTAAAATCGACCTTGCTAACCAGATGCTCCTCTGTAGCTAAATTGGTACAGCATGTCAGGCTATATGACTGTTCCGTGTAGGATACAAATTTGATTCTTGTTGGAGGACACTATGAAAATTTCTGACATTCAGACCAGTAAATGTTAATACTGTTTACTATAAACAGAATATGTACTTAAATATTTGTATCTATAAAAATAACATATAAGCATAAGATAACTTACATATATAAAACATGTCTGATTAAACAATTTAGAAGTGCTTTGCGTGTTTATTTTCTATAATATCCTTTTGTAATCACGTACAAGCTTTGTTTTTTCATGGTTAAAGAGAGCAAGAAAGGTACCATGGCTGTATTTATTCATTTCTATTTTCAGAGTACTTTAAATATATTCCAGTATCATCTTCAGGGTCATGATGGCTAAGACAAATAGCTATGTGTGTCCAAAGTAAATTTTTGCTTTTGTGGTCAAGCTGTTAACAGTTCCGGTCATGTGCAAAATCACATACATTAATTTTAATTTAATTTTTAATTTTTTTTTTTAATTTTCTATACTGTAAACATTTTAATGTAAGGGAAGTAACTTAGTTAAGAATTGAATTCTTTAGGAGGTTATAGTCTGCTTGTTTTTAAAAAAAACTGTTTAGTTTTAACATAAATATTTCAAAAGAACTATATGCTTTAAACATTTCAGAACATTTGTACTATATCCCTAATTAATTTTGTTAAGTGTTGGTTTTAATTTTTAATAAAGATGACTTTGAGAATTTGTTGTTTCAGCTTGTTACATTCTTAGTGAAGTATATGAGTATTATTGGCTAATATTCTTTTAAATTGTGAATGTGGACTGGAATGTTTTTGCAGATGTTGTGCAATTGATGATGAAATCTGCATGTGTAGAGTGAGCCGTCTTGATAACATTATATAGAATGACCAACATATATATTAGCTTTTTTGTTAGGGATGCAATCTCCCAAGGGACATTTGAATTGATATATAGTGTTGGTTTTCTGCAATACGTCAATTGGTGGGGAGGAGTTATGGATGATAAAATTAGTTGTATTAAATTTAGTATAGTATATAATTTTCATTTTATTTTTTTTACTGGGATCTGTGGGGGATATATTAGTATTTATGAGTTCTTTTAGTATTTTTTCATCTTGTTTATAATGCATCTGATTATGATGTAAAGCATTGATATGTTTAGGGTTATTTGAGGACATGTTATGTTCTATTTAATTTATATTAGAATTTGTAATAAATCGCCTTATTTGTTCATCAACAATATAGTTAGGAAATTAATGTTTTTAATGTTCAGTGTAGAAAATCTTTTTTGTGGATGAGCTAACTTTAGCGTGGTTTATTAAATTTTGTATAATAGCTATTTTGTAGTAGTTAGGACATACACTCTTATAACTCTGGGTTCTCCTGTTTGCGTGACATGGTGCAGAATCTTGTTGCCAGATGCATAACGTCATTGTTACTAATGTTCACTGCAAACACCTTCATAATCACCATTAGACTCCTCCAACTTTTTCTGAATCCTCTGCCTGTCCTCAGATTGACATTCAAACACTCTGAAATGTACATATTGGAGCTTTGGGCGTGAATGCCAAGCAGTACAGCATGCTGTTTCCAAATTTCTGGTGGAGTGTCATGGTGCTCTTTTTCTCACAGATGGTCCTCAACTGACCCTACTACAGTTAACAGAATCAAAAACAAACAAAGCGCATGCACGAAATTAAAAATATAAACTTGCGACAATTTACCCTTCACACCGTGTATATAAAATAAGTGGTTCTAAACTTAAATCTTGTGATGTTTATAACAAAACTCTAGTTTCAAATTTGATAATCAGAATTAGTGTTGTTCGTTATGAAAGAGTATAAATATAACGTTTAATAAATTCGATAAAAACTGAAACTCATGAGTTGGCAAACCAAATAAGTCACTTATGTAAAATGATGATACCCTGCTATCAATCTAGTATGGTACCTAAAGTTATAAAGTCTAGGTACCAAAGAGCAAAACTCATCAGAACAATTACCATGAAAATATTTACATAAAAGGCACATGGAAGGTACGTTACAGTGGTGGGAAAGTGACTGAAGCATAGATGCCAGTTCAGAACTAATAACATTGCAGATTCTTCTTTGTATTTCATCAAGAATCTCTAAATGCATAACAAAAGCACTCGACCTGATTATATATTTGCCATTATTTGAAATGACCTGTTGCCACTTATCAGGGAGATCTTTTTGAGTAAAATTCTGCAAGTTTTAATGAGGAGAAAAGCTTTTGAAAAAATTGAATATGCTTTTCATGAAAAATTTCCCATTAAAGTGTTTTGCTATGTTTGATAATTATCAGTTGCTTCAAGGTTAGGCAAACATGACGGGTAGGGTAGAACAGACCAACAGAGTTGCAAAATTTATTCCTGCATTATTCTTTTTGTATGTGGCCTTGTATTGTCATGGAGGAGAACAACATTTTTCCATTAATCCTCTGTGTATGCTGCCACTGCCCTGCAAAAACTAAGGTATGTTAGCGTACTCCAAATCTATTCTTAACTGCCACATATGCAGCTAGGATGATATATTCATCATTAAAATTGGTTTACAAAAATGAAAATTACTTATGACTCAATACCAGAAGCCATGTTTTCCTTATGAGTTTAAATAGGAAGAAAAAATTATTTCATATATTTCTCCTTCAAAATTGTGTTTATAGCAGGAGTATTTTTACATTTTTCATGGGTGAGCAGTAAAGCACTCCAGATCAAACAGTGGTTTTCCCCCTTCAAAGAAGAACACATTTTCTTTACTAAGATTTCTCAAATCCCAGGCCAGGTGGATAGATTTAATACACATTGTTTAATAAATAAAAATGGGGCATCTATTTCAAATATGAAGTGTCCACCATGATAAATATTTAATGTGTACACACATGCACACGTCTGTATATTTTCAAGAAAATATTGGTCCCTCATATTCATATTACAAAGTAAATTGCACTTAATAGCATACAGTATGACATTTTGTGACATATTCTCTTTTTTTTTTTTCTTTTTTTTTCTTCTAAATCTTTTTCACCTCAAACAAAGCCACTTACAAGTAGGGGTTTACTGAGTGTGAGAAAATATAAGAAAGCCATTATTAAGGGACAGGAATAATGAAAGAACAGAAATTAAGAAGACAATGAATGACATTGCATATAAATTTTTGAGGATCAGTTGTCTGGAAAGCAAGAAGCCAGTTGAGATTTCCACAAGCAAGAATTAAGAGATAAGAAACTGTAAGCATAGAACTTATGTTTACATCTAGTCATCTCAACTGTAAAATGATGAGACCTACTGCACTTAAATTCATAGTTTAGGTGTCAGGACCAATGACATTGCAGATTCTTCTTTGGATTTTATCAATGTTATCTAAATAGATAGTAGGAGCACCAGACCATAAGTGACAGCAATATTCTCAGCATGAATGAATGGTAGACTCGTAAATATGTAAGATAGATTTAGGTAAGAAAACTTGTCTACTACAGCACAGAGAACTAATTTTCCTAGCATTTAGCTGAATCTGTACTGTAGAGTGTTTGATCAAAACCAGAATGTCATTACCCATGAGAAATGACCATCAATGTCTTTATAGTCATTTGTTTCCAATAAATGGCAACTTCTTATTTTTCCAAAAATGTATAAGCATAGCCAGGCAACAATGCAGTTGTGAAAGTGTTAAAAATTGTGTTTATATACTTTCTTTAATAAAATTCTTTCTGATTTTGCATTGATTGTTCATTTTGTAACACATGGTTTAAACTGTTTATAATTCATGACAACTGCATTTACATTTGTTCCTTTTTTCTTGTAGGTTACTTACCAAAGTCTTATCTCTCAATACTGTGAAAATGGTGATATTGCAGGTGCCAGGTAAGTTTTTTTTTTTTTTTTTTTTTTTTTTTCAATTTTGATTCTAACTACAAATCTTCCATGAACCAGCCACAGATTTAACAATGGAGAAAATTTCTTCGAAAGATGATGGGATGAATCAACTGAAAAATTATAAAGAAAAGAAAAAACAAAGATGAAGGTGATCCTTGAATCTTAACCCATTAAAAGTGACCCAAAAGTCTTTGACTCTTGACTTGTCTTAAAAATCTAGATGTGCAGGTGATTTAATGGATAGCGGCTGTCAATGAGAAATCAGAAAGAAGTTTGAATTCCAGTTGGGTTCATTACATTCACTTAGGTGCAAATACCCTCGGGAATGGTATGAATCAAGCAAACTCTGCCCACCAGCTATGGGTTAAATAGTAGGGCTTGTATCTGGAAAAATCATTGTTATTCTTATAAAATTAGTGATGCAATATTAACTTGCAAAAAAAAAAAAAATAATTGTTCTTACAATCCAAAATATGATTTGGCTTAAAATAAATCAAAAAGGTTCGATAAGCCATAAAAAAAACAATGTCACACTGACAGACTTTAGTTTTGTTTCTGAAAGAGAGCACATAATTCAGGATGATCAACAGGTGAATGTACTGTCCTCAGCCCCAATGACTTGTGACTTTTGCTAGCACAACTTTCGACAACTTCTGAATTTTACTCACAAGGCTCTGGCATGGTTTTCAGGCACTTCTCAATGATGATGCTTGCTGGGACCATCTCCTCAGGCCTATATTACCAACATATTTTTTAAGAGAGAAGTTGTGGGGGGAAGCAACTTTGTGTTTTTCCTACTTCACCAATTCCTGTTTTATAGATTTCGGAATGTACAATTGAAACATGAACAATGTAATTTTAGAATGAAGATGGTCCATTCTGTATATTAAATACAGATTTCAGTTCAGAATTCCCTGTAGATTATCCAGATTAACATATACCTGAAGAAGTCTGGAGAGTACAACAGCCAAAATGTTGTGATCATGACAACAAAGATGAGGATAATAGTCTGAATATAAATAGTGTAAATAAGGTAATTTTAGTTTTAGACTCTATGTTCTGAAGAGAAATCATATCTTAGAAAACAATCATTGTTTTGATGAGCATATGTATTCTTTCTTAATTTTCTTGTAGTCAAATCCTTGAATATATGAAGAAACTTGACTTACCTATTGGAGAACAGGTTTTCAACTCTTTGATTACTGGACATTTCCGTGCCAAGTAAGTATAACTTTCTTCAATAAATTTTTCATGAGTTTTGGAAAATGATATTCTGTTAACAATTTTTATATATTTTTGTTTAATATTCAGATTGATCTTCAAAGGGAATTGCGTTCTGGGTATGACGATAAACTGCATCCAACAACAAGGCCTCTGATAATACGTTTTTGAAAGAATAATATTACCAGCTATATGTTTTTGAAAAAAAAAAAAAATATTACCAGCTATACGTTTTTGAAAAGAAAAAAAAAATATTACCAGCTATACGTTTTTGAAAAAAAAAAAAAATATTACCAGCTATACGTTTTTGAAAAAAAAAAAAATATTACCAGCTATAAGTTTTTGAAAAAAAAAAAAAATATTACCAGCTATACATTTTTGAGAAAAAAATATTAACAGAAATGGATTTTTGACAAAAACAAAAATATTATCAGATAAAAAAAAGTTGTTGGCATTAAATGACCCACTGAGGTTGATAAGCCGCAAAACAAACCAAACCAAAGTGAATTGATTTATTTCTCTCCCTCCCCTCTTCATGCAGGCTAATATTATGAGGGTTTTGTTATGCATATCTCTGAGAGGTTTTTGGCAGGGGTTCAGCAAAAACATTCACTTCTTTTTGTTGTTTCTATCAATATAATTTCTGTTTGAAATACACCAGAGCATTTTGCCTACTGGAAATAATAAATTTAATCCTTTAGCTTTCAATTAAAGCTAAAATGAAAGTTTCAAGAAAGCTTTTCCATTTATAAAAATTAATTTTAATTTTATTGCAATTTTAGTGGTAGTACCTACATTAAATGTATTCAGAAGTCTCTAAAGCATTATCAGGATTTGTTTCCTTTATTTTTATACCAGATGTTCCAGTTACTTTTTTTTGTCTTTTTTTGTTTCTGATGAATGTCTACACTGCTTACAAGAAAATTCTATTTGCATATATTTTTGTATGTAATGTCTGTAACTTTTGCTTTTATCTCTTTTTATTAGTGACACCAAACAGTAGCATCTTTGTGACAATGGCAGACTTTTTGAGTGCAAAACAGTTTTTTTATCTGTAAAATCTTGTCAAAGCCCAAAAAAAACAAAGAAAGAGTTTGGAGGTATGAACATGCATACCAGTAAACGATAATAATTAAAAGAAAAAATCATATTTTAAAACTTCCAAACTGTCATTATCTTTTATGGCATTAGTAAACTTTAAAATTGGGACGTATAAGTTGTTAATTCCTCTAGAATATTAATGTAAATTTCTGTTAAATTGTCATTTTAGATTAAGTTTCTTGAGTATTTTTGAAGAAAAAAAAATCAATATTTGTCTTTTGATGTTTTAAACATGAGTGATCATCAAAGGAGATCAACCTAAAAGAAACTGCTTTGTTTGCATGCAGGAAATTAACTTGAATGACAACATTCAACATGAATGTCTACATTTCTAATTGATTTTCTTTATTTTTTTTCCCCCCTGATTAGTGAACCTGAAAATGCTGAAGGGATTTTGTCTATTATGAAGTAAGTTGATTTAGTGAATATGTTTTTTTTCCTTTTAATCTTTTTCGATTCCACTTTTGTTTTCTGGTTTGTGTTTTATTAGTTTTAAAAACTTGATGTATTGGTCCAAATTGAACATTACATTTGTAATGGCATCACTACCTTCAAAGACTTCAAATGCTTAATATCTCTATCTCCCTCTGTGTGTGTGTGTGTGTGTGTGTGTGTATGTGTATATATATATATATATATATATATATATATACAGAAATGTAGTTTTAAGGTGTGCTTTATTTATTGGATAAAGTGCTCAATATCAAAGATAGAGCGTATGTAAATATAAAAGTGAATATTGAAGCGACAGGCTGTTTCATGCTAGATGCAATCATCAGGCCGCGAATTGCGTCTAGCATGAAACAGCCTGTCACCTCTGAATGTTGACTTCAATGTTCACTTTTATATTTTTGTGTGTATATATATATATATATATATATATATATATATATATATATATATATATATATATAATATATATATATAGTAAAACCTCAAAACCAAAAGACTCTGGATTTAACTTTAAAACTTTTTAAACTTTATTTATAGGTTTATAGTAACTTAAAAATAAGATACACATACATATATATATTGTATTTACATTTATTTACAATAATTTTGTACTGTACTGTGTGTTTTTAGGCCACAAAAAGAAAGTGCTTCAAATTAATGGACAAACGACTTTAATACCCCCCCTAATTAGTCAATTAAATTGAGGTTCTACTAATATATATATAATCTCAGACTAGCACCTAATTCGGTAGATGGGTAGAATGTTTTGGCCCACCAGTATAAATATGAAAATTTATAGTGTTTTATTTGTTTTTTTTTTTTGGGGGGGGGTCCTCTGCCTGTTGGTAAATCAGTCACTTTTATTATTGGTAACCTTATTGAAATTGATGTTTAGGAAGTGAAAGCATCAACAAAAAAAAAACTCTTATTTTTATTTTAAATCATAATTCCATTCTTCATTGGAGTGATTATAAGTTAAAAAAAAAATTCTATTTGTAGGAAAGCCGGAATGGAACCCAGTGCTGACACTTATGTCACTTTGATCATGGGTTACATTGAAAAAGGACAAGTAGAAAAACTCGACCAAGTATGTCAATCCAATTTCGGTTTTTTTTTTTTTTTTTTTTTTTTTTTTTTTTATGAAATACAAATTAAAAATTGTTTTTGATAAGGTAAAAACAAAGGGTCAGATGTTATTGTACTGTAAACTCTAATTGAATTGTGACTGTAATAGTACATACAACTTGCATTTTCTTCTTCCTTAAATACCATGACCCTTCATGATATAGGCAATGATGACTCACACACACTATTTCAGTTGGAACTGACTTCAAAAAAAAATATTTCTTTTCTAACAAAGATGGCTGCTAATAAGCTCAAATGAATTTTCATCTAAGAACTAAAATTCTGAACAAACATATTTTACTTTTCAAATATTTTATTGCCTCAAATTATTGCACAAGTTTTCTGAATAATGAAATGAGAGCTTTCATTTATAGTCACTGGGAAAGGTTTTGGTTGCTTCAAAATTATTCTTAAAATTTTGCTTTTGTTTTGAAGATACTGGAAATGGCAGAAAACGAAAGTGTGCTGATTCGTCCTTCTCACCTTTTAAAACTTATTTATGAACTTGCAATAAATAATCAGAAAGAACCAATTCCCATGGTAAGTTTTCTTTATGGATCGGTTAATAATTACCGGCCTTTTTCATTTCTTTATTGAATTTTGTGCATCTTATGAAACTTCCTGTACCTTTTTGTTCATAACTTTATTTTAAACCCATTAAAGATAAATTAGATTTTCTCTTTTTATAATTAAATAAGAACTTGGATAAAAGAATATTTGTACATAAAATCTATTTGAAAAAAAAAAAGGAATTTTTTAGAATTTTAGTAACCTAATTTTCAAATATGAATATTCAAAAGAATTTGTATTATTTGAAATGAGATCTATGAAAGATGTTCCAAAAGTAATGTTTCCTATTTTGAGAGAGCAAGTTTTCACCCAAAAACGTAAACTTTTTTTTAGAAAAAATGGTATTGCTAAGAATTGACAGTGTTCATATAGTTCATTTTTCATCAGCCCAGATTTAACTTGTTACATGTTAACTGTTACCACTGCTGAAGTACATCACCCTCTGTACTCTGATCCACTGTTTGGTCTCTGTAAATGTTCAGCAAGCATTGCCAAATGCCAGTTCTGATTTGTATGCACTTTCATGTCAGATATAATTTTACCAGATTTCAATCAGTCAAAAAAAAAAATGACAGGTTATTTGTAGGAAGGTTCAACCTCTATAGCAGTACCAACAGTATGTGGCTCTGACATTGTTGACCAACATAATAAAATAGGAGTTATTACTTTCAGAGTGACTTGTGTGTGTGAAATATATATATATATATTTATGAATAAAAATGACAATAGGAAAACTGGTAATTGCTGACGCGTTTCGTCCAATGTGGACTTTATCAAAGCAAAATACTAATTCATATTCATAAATATTGTCTTCTCTACCGATTAAATCGGAGAAATTTCATATATATATATATATATATATATATATATATATATATATATATATATATAAAAAGACAAAAGGAAAAATTTATCTTAACTAATGTGTTTTATCCTCTGAAGGACTCTATCAAGTAAAATGCAAAACTATTATGGATATGATCCAAACCAAGAATACCCATAACAATAATAATTCTGAAGCAGGTATATATAAAAATATTTGCCGGAACTGCTCCTCACAGTTCATTGGGGAAACTTGCAGAAATTTAAAGTATCTATGAACACAAAAGGGATCTTGTACACAACAATTTATTATATGCATCAGTTATACTTAGAAATAAATTCAACCACAACTTTGATTTAAAGAACGACACACTTATTAACAGAGTAACTTACTTAAAAGGAAAATTTGCGAGAGTGCTGCTATCGAATCTTACCAAAATATAAATCTGCGCCCTGGAATTTTTCCAATGTCTCCATTCCTGAAAGAATTACTACTTTCCCAAGCCAAGATACATGACTACAAAAATGTTAAAAAATGGAGAGAAAACTGTTAAATCTTTAACTTAATGGTATTTAAAATATATAATACATGAATTAATCCCAAACTAAAATAATTTACATACTAATTTGCATTAAAAAAATTTAAAAAACTCACTTTCCTTTATTAGACATTGAATTGTGTCACATTGAGTCCTCCATAGCTTGCCTGCCTGCCTGACTTTTCAACTAACCTGATGAATATTTATGAGCGTTCCTAAACTTAAAAATTTTGAAAACTTTTTTGCTCTTGTATATAAATATGTGTTACAAAATAAAATCCTTGGTAACATTTAATAGAAGCTTATCTTAGAAGCACTAAACAACAGTTTCCCTTCACAAAAGTAACATTAAATTACCAAACAAGAAACTTTGTCAGAATACATCCACAAATGCAACAAAGGTAAATTTACAATTATGACAACTACTCTTACTTACAAATGCAAGAAAAAAACTTCATAGACAAATTTAAACACTAAACAAATCATAACATCACACACATAAGAGCCAAACACCCCAGTCAGAGCACACACACACACTATACAAAATACATGTAGTTACTGTATAAATCTCTTTATAATATAATATATAGCATATATATATATATATATTGAGAATGAATATATATATATACACACACACACGCACTGGTAAAAACAAAGACACTCGACAAATTACACACAAGCTACACACCATACAAGTGTGTGTCTGTGTGTATATATATATATTTAAGACATTTTTATGTTTATACATTTTTATAGATACAAATATTTATAATAAGCAGTATTAAACATTTACCAGCCTTAATTTATTATAAATAGAGCATTTACTTAAATATTTGTATCTATAAAAAGAATGTATAAACATAAAAATGTCTTAAAAATAATTGCCGGACTTTAGCCATTTCATAATGCAGGTGTTTCTCAAGGCTCCATCCTAGGCCCCACTCTATTCCTTATCTTCATAAATGACCTCCCTACGCCATAAATTCCCAAGTTGGCATCTATGCAGATGACACCACAATTTATTCCTGCCCCAAAAACAAATCTAGTGTCACTGACAAAACTAATCTGGCTGTGCGTCTGGAAAAGGACTTCCAATCAGTTGTGAACTGGGGCAGGAATTGGCTGGTAAACTTTAATGCTTCAAAAACAAAACTGCTCTCTATTAATCACCACAGAGATCCTTCCCTGCCCTCCATTAGAATGTCTGACGCTCAACTTCTTGAGAGCAACTCTCTCTTCATGCTGCTCGGTCTCACGTTGACGGCTGACCTGAGATGGAACAAATACATCGAGTCAATTGCTTGTCCCACCGCAAAGGAAAGTTGGCTCCCTGTGCCGCCAGGAAATTTTTCTCCCTGGAATCGATCCTCCAGATCTACAAATCAACAATTCGCCCTTGCATGGAGTATTGCTGCCATATATGGTCTGGAGCCCCTTCTGTTTGCCTCGGGGTTCTTGATAGGCTCCAGAGGTGGATATGCAATATAATTGGCCCTGCTCTGGCATCTTGTCTACAGTCACTTTCTTACAGTCACACCGTCGCCTCTCTCTGTCTGTTTTACAAATACTTTCATGGCAATTGCTTCGAGGAGCTGCATTCGCTGGTTTCCAGACTTCATGAGTTCAAGCACCCTACGAGGCTGGCATCCTGCTCTCACCCTTTCACTGCCAAAACTCCAAAATGTAGCCGTCTCTTCTACTCCAATAGCTTCATGTCTCGCACCTCTCGCTTGTGGAACTCCCTTTCCTATTCCAGTTTCCCTGAGAGCTATAATCTCCAGCTATTCAAATGTAATGTCAATCGACATCTCCAGTTGCCTTGATCTATCCACTACCCTTCTCCTCATTCTTTCTTCTATCACTCCTATCTGATCTTGCTCCAAATTTTCTGTAACCCCTTGCATCCTAGTGGCTTATCGCCTTGCTTGGGGTGAAACGCTTAGAAAAAAATATATATATATATATATATATATATATATATATATATATATATATAAGCAAAAACACACACATGCGCAAAAATAGAGAAAAGTTTAAAATGATAAAAGAACATAAAAAGATAAGATCAAAATTTAACTTCCTTTGAATAATATGTGGAAATAACCGTTCTTCACCTGATGAAGGTCACAAGACCCAAAACCAGTGTAGCAAAAAATATGGAAAATAAAAATATAATAAATATTGAAAATAATCCATATTATAAAATGTTTGTAGGTTCTCTTTTCTCTTTAAAATATACACTTTTCTTATTGGAACAACTATGATCTCTCCCTTAACATACACACACGCATATATATATATATATATATATATATATATATATATATATATATATATATAATAGAGAGAGGCTACATATGGTCAAGTTGTATATCTTTAGAAAGCTCTTTGAATGCTAGTTAATATTCACTTGAGAACTATGTTCATAAAGTCAACAGAAATTGTACTTTTTTTGATTAGCAACAAAAGCAAGCCTGCAGCAACTCTATAATGAACAAATGATGTGACACCAAGAGGGTTATTTGATTATGCAAGAAAAATCATTTTAGGCATAAATATTTTGTATTCTTCAACAAATGAATGGACAAATGAAGCAGAAATCTTAGGAAACAGATTAAAGATGCCTCAACAATTACAGGAACTCAAGAACTACAAATTTTTATTCCTGTGTCTCAGGAAGAGATAGAAGTAAAAACAGTGTCAACTCAGCATGAAAGAAAAATAGTTAAAATTATAAAATGGGATAATATAGAGCTTGAAAACATTAAGGGATTTGATACAGCAATCTATGATAGGAATTGGTGCTTAGGATGTGTGCTTGAAAAATATCCTGATAATGAAAAGGTAAAATTGACTTTTTTACAGCCGAAGAGTCCTTCCTCATCTTTCTGTCATTCATTACATCCAAATATATTAATTTAAATTATTCTGATATTTTTAGTTTTGTTGATCCAATAACTGACACTGGAAGAATTTTTTTTTATTTTAGGAAAGAGAATTTCTTTAAATAAACTTAAATAAAGAAACAATCAAGGAAAAAAAAAATTTGAGTAAAAAAGTAAGTGGTTTGCATATCCAAATTTTTATTTTGAATTTAAACATATATTCCAGCAAGAAAAATAAGTTTGTCATATAAAAATCTATTTGTTCTATAATAAAAATGTAAACAAAACTAAAAATAAGGTTTATTTTCCACCAAATTGATCAACATTTAACCACAAATAGCACAAATTCTGTTTATTTTATAAACATAGTTCTTATGTGAATATTAACCAGCATTCAAAGAGCTTTCTAAAGATATACAACTTAACCATATTGGGAGACATGAAAATATGTATTTCTAGTGGCAAATACTAAAAGCGGTCATTTTGAATTTGGCCCAACTGAGTAAAATTCTTGTAAAACAGGCCACAGTCAAAGTCCATCACAAAATTTTATACATATCTTACCATAAAGCAGACAAATTTGTTGACAAATTTAAAAAAATTAAAGATATGTTTTTTGAGAAAGGTCAAGGGTTAAGGTCAAAGTCAAATTGTCTTATTTGACCCTTAAAGAAAAAAATAAATGGAACATCTTTTAGATTTATCAAAGTACTTTAAAACGGTATATAATTTAGCCTTGTAGGTGAAAAAACAACTGAGATATTGATATTTAAACTTTGTGACTATTTTCCAAAATTCACCTTTTTGTCAGGGGTTAAAGGGTCATATCTTGGGAACTCTTTGACCTAAAGATGTAAAATAGGTACAATTCAATTTCTGTCATGAAGCTTTATAAGTGTACCAACAAACCACAAAAACATTCACATATCCACTTCTGACAAAGGTGGTGGAATTATAATTTATATATGTATTATTATTACCTTTTACACTCAAAAAAAACATGGGTAACTTAGATACCTGAGAGAGGAGCATTGTTGTGCACAAATACACATTTAACTTTGAAACTGCAAGGCTGGGACTTGTACCATTCAAAGAAAGTCTTGTGCATGTAATCGCAATGGTTAACACTGTTCAGTTTAACTTCTTCATTGGCTTTCAATGGTTCAATAATTGTGTGGTTGACAATTTCACCCCATATCATCGTACTTTTGCTTCCTTGCTGCCTTCTTTTAGCCATAGGCACATCTACATCGGATAAAATCCATCCTATGGCTCATCCATCAGGCCAGTCAAGTATCACTCAAAATTTGTCCATGAAAATTACTTTAGAAAAATCAAATTTTTCTACGTTAAGTAATTTAGACTTCCAGTTCTCGTGTGATTTATTTTTAAAATAATTTTTAACATTGTCTGGATAAATTTAAAACTATTTTGTAATTTTGGTCTTATGAAGCAGATATTAAAAACTTACCTGCTGAAATAAATTTATTATTGGGTTTTTCGGTGATGTGTCAATTTTTTTTCTTTTGATGTATATCACATTGCTTTGTATACAATATATTGAGCTTGCTT